CTCTACATATGCGGGCTTGGCCTCATAGAAACCGGGTCCTTATAATAATCCACCTAGTTGTATTCAATTTGCCACCCAAAACATGGTTGACTATGCTAGCTGCTATTGTTTCTTGTTTGGCCACCCTCTCTTTTCTACTGGTGGTGGGCTACTAAAGCCTAGGTGGCCAAACTGGCCCCCGATCTTTATGTAATTGGTTAGGTAAGCAAATAAAAAAGTATTCTGAGTAGAGTTGACATGATTTGGGAACCCATTGAGTCTTAAAAAGCTAAAATAGAAAGGTAAAACTGAGGTTTAACCGAGTTTTTTTTCCTGGAAGCTTGTGGGGTCACTGAGTTGACTCCTGTGAATCTTTAGATGACTTGCATGAGGCTTGACTCAGGCAAGGCTTGTGGAGTCACTGAGTTGACTCCTGTGAATCTTTAGATGTCTTGCATGAGGCTTGACTCAGGCAAGTTTTGTTGTTTTCATGAACCAGGACTCATGTTAGGGCAACAATTTTTAAGCATATAACTGGTAATAGTCAATACCCGTATCTTTTCCTGGCGATTCTAGGTTCCTCAAGGAACAGGGGATTTTTTTGGGGAAGAGTATACGATAGTCTAATGGACTGTGGAGAACTTGGGATCAATATCATGGTCTTCCGATAAGATGGTGGATGATGATACCATGGTTGTGATGACCAGTTCTCATGGCCTGGGTTTCCACTCACGCATCCATCACCTTCAATTTCATCAGATGAGTTTGCCATCATCCAAGTAAACTTTCCCTTTCTGGGTCTTTGCACATAGGGTAAGGGTTCTTAGTTTTGTGTATTTTATAGCCAACAAACTCTCCCTTCTTGGGTTAATTGTAATAATGTTGTTAAAAGGAAAATTGAGTTCCGACTTGTGCACCTGGCCATCCGAGTCGGATTGCCAATTCCAGAGCTGCGATGCTGATTCTGGCTGTCAGAGTCACGAGGTGAACCAAAAAAAGATAACTTTTGAAAAAACAAAAAAAAACAGAAAAGTCACGCTAGGACACGGTAATCGCTGGAGTCCCGGTGAACTGCTTGCTTCTGGACAATCTAGGGCGATACCTTGGTTCGGGGTCATCCTGAATCAGGGACCCTTGGCTCTGAGCTAACTTGGGCGATCTTGAGTCTGCTTGCTGATTTTTTAAACACTGATTTGTACCGAGAGTTGAAGATTCTGAGTTTCACATTTGAATAAAATATTTCTTTTTGGGTTCTTGCATGCAGAGCAATGTGCTTGATAGACTTTGGAGCACCAGTGAATGGAGAAGAAGAAGGCTTGCCAAATGGGTCAACAAAGAAGTTCGAGAGCTTCTATGGCAATGGGACAGCGAAGCTCACCAAATTGAAGAGGGCTTCTTTTAGTGCATGCCATAGGAATAGAGGTAAAGAAAATTTTGCGTTCAAGTCATTTGTTGATCCTGTTCACTTTGTCGGGTATGTGTCAGAAGGTAATGTTTTGGTCATAGATAAGCCTTGGTTAGAAGTGGTTCAGACCTTTGAGGCCCCTGTGCACAGACACATTTATGGAACCTAGCTGCCTGCCCCCTATGGAATTTCATGGAGCTTTGATTTTGTTAAGCCAACAAGGGAGTCAACCCTTCTTGGACAGGTCCCCCTTTTTGGATGTCATAGGGGGTTTTGAGCAGCCTTAATATGTATCGGCTTGAGTTGACGTGTCTTGTAAGTGCTATTTTTCTCCTGGTTTAGTATTATTCTTCTTTCTCTTGGTTCTTTTTATTGACATAGTTGGAGCGTTTAGGTCTCTCTGCCCTGAAAACTTAGCTTCAGTATACCTGGATTTGAAGGCTCACATGTATATTAATTGGGTTGGGATTGGGTTGGATTAAGGTGCATGCATTAATATCTTGTATGAAAACTCGCACTTTTGATAAGTTAATGACAAACACCGGTATCATTTTGATAAGTCAATGAAAAAACACTGAACGCAAACAACTGTTGATGGGTAGGAATATATTATGGTGGGGTATGGTCTTATGGGAAAGGTTTCTGTACTTTCCTTGCAGCATAGATCTTCTATGCATCCCTTGTCCAATTTTGTTTAAGAGTCATTCACCGTGTGATTTTAGATCCGATGTTTCAAAGTATTTGTATGAATATGAAATTTGGTACGTGCTATCTTTTCATTGAGGTGTACCTATAAAAAATATTAAAGATGTTTTTTCGATAAAATATAATGACCAAAGTACTTTTTAAAATTTTTAAGGGTATTTTGGTCATTTAATTTTATTGAAAATATTTTTTTAATATTTTTTGTTAGTTCGAGTTTAATAGAGGATCGGATGTTCAAAATTTGGCGTCAAAATAGTTTATAGAAAATAAAATAAAATAAAATACTATAGAGACAGGACATTGTGATTGGGACAATCTTAGCCCTCCATTCAAAATGGAAGGTTGGATAAGGGATAGTATATAAGTTTATGCTTTAGGGGAAGTTTTCCCCATAGAAAGCTTGCCTTGGTTGCCTTGGTCTTATTTTGGTGGGTATCTAACCCATTGCGAAATTTTATTTGGGCAAGCTTTTTATGCTCTCCCTACTGCATAAAACTTATATACTACCTTACTGTCCATTTTGAATGGACGGTTGAGATGGTTCTAATCACAATGTCATGTTTTTATATTTTTTTTTCTATAAAACATTTTGACACCAAAATTTGGGTGTCCGCTCCTCTCTTAAACTTAAACTTGCACTTGTAAAAAATATAAAAAAAATATTGATCTCCCGTGTGAATCAACCAAATCTGTCGTTGAAACACTTCGTTCTTCTATCGATGTCATTACAAAGGATGACGCTGTTGTTGAGGGTACTAAGGATGATTGTCGGTGGGTTGTTTGGACAATTCTTGGTCCATTGGCCCACTTACCCTGCAAGTGCAAATGGTCGTCCGTATTCCAATCAAATAAAATAATCAAAATACCTTTAAAATATTCAAAGGGTATTTTGGTTATTGTTTTTTTAAAAGTTTATTATATTTTATCAAAAATTATTTTTAATATTTTTTTTAGGTGTACGTGTAGTTGTCAAATTTCATATTTATATAATCTATAAAAAAAGCTAAAAATAAAATACTCAGAAGCGTTGGATCTTTGATCAAACAGTTAGCAGCTCACTTGATCTAAACTGGCCAGCTGGATGGGGGAGTATATATCCCGTTGCAGGGAAAGTACCAAAACCTTCCCATTTTATTGTATACCATAGTAAAAGTGGTTACCATAGTAAAAGTGGTTACTTTGTATAGGTAACTAAGTCCTGGTTGAACACGGAGATGATAACACGGAAACAAAGAATCAGAAAGTGTACTTGTAAAATAGTGTTCCTGTAGAACGTTGATTCTTGAATAAAACAGTATTTTGAACGATAGAGAGAGAAAGAAAAGAAGGAGATCTTGTAGACCAAAGAGAATATTGATGAAGAGGGAGGCGATTTTTCCTATCTAACACTTCTATTTTATTTCATAATGAGCCAAACATTGAGAAAATAAAACATGGTTTTGAAAGTGATTATAAAGGGCATTTTCTTGTTTGGTAAATCAATTGAGCCAAAATTATCAAAAGGTCATGTTTAGCAAATTTGAAAAATGCTTGCATGCTCAAATACAGTTGTTATTAGTACCAGCCAAAATAGATATTGATTGTGGTCACAGTTGGAGGACAATTGAGTTATGGATATTGGCACTAATATAAAGTTTTTGTACCAAAGAATTATGAAAGACTGGATAAAATATAACAAGGCGAAGAAGTAGAAACCATGAGTAGAATAAAAAAATTAATTGGAGACAAAAAGTTATGGAATTCTATACAATGAGACTATTGATCTTTGATAAAAGGTGATCGCAACTCCTTACAATCATTTGATGTGAAATTTGATAGCTTGGATGTAACACAAGTTTGAGAATTTTTTTTTTGAAGTTTGAGCTTGGTCAATGAAATAATGTTAGCAGTCCAATATCACATCCATTGGTCAAGATTAATGTGACCACCTTGTATCAAAGGTAAGTGGTATCATTTTATACTTTCCCAAAAGGTATTATGGTAAATTTTGTTAATATTAATGATGGTGGCTATCAAGCTTGAATTGGATATGTTACTCTTGATGAAATCAACCCTTGTACTATTTCCAAAGGTCTCCTAATTTTTACTACAGAAGGTGAAAAAACAATTGTGCCTAGAATTCCCCCATCTTTCAAAGTGAGAAGCAATAAAATACAAGGGAGTGCTTCTATGAAAAAAGCTCAGAAACAGGAAAGAGAGCATGAAAATATGAGCCAATAAATCAGATTAAGGGCATGAACCTAGAAGCAAGTTCAAATTTATTGGATATAAAAGTTGTTACATAAGCCTTTAAAAAATGATACGTAAAACAGCCTTTAGAAAATTGGGATAAAGATTCACCTAAACTCATAGATCCGTTCTTTATGATTTTTTGGTTCAAAGCAAACCCATGAGGTGTAATAAGCAGTATGAAGAAGAGTTAACATCTCAGGTAAATGGAATCAGAGGAATTGATAATATCATCGGAGTCAAATTACTTTTTTGCAGTCTTTGTTGTTGGAAATCCTTCTGAAGAAAAAAGAAAAAAAAACCTGAATGATCATCAATTATATTCCTCTGAACTGTTAAAAAATTCCCGAACGGTCAACTAACTTTCTTGTTTTCATTAAAGGGCTAGTTTAATATGAGTTTTTTTGAAGGAGATATCAATTAGTTGCCCATGGAAGCTTTGGAGCTTCATGTACCATCCAATTCTGTTACTACTTTTAGTCAGATTTTCATGGATTTATGGCCATTTTCTCTCCTTGGAATTGTAGAGAATTAAGTTATGATTATTTTCACATTGAATTTTCAGTCTAAGACTTCTCATATTTATATAGTTATGGGGATTTTTGTGGTCCTTGCTCATTTGACAACAACAACAGCCTTTTGTGCTACCATTTAGCTTCAATCTCGAAAGTAACCTTCCAATATATTATGTGGACGTTTTGGTAGTTGAATAAGGAGCATTTCTGCAAAATTTCAGCTCAAAATACCCAAGGTTTGAGCGAAATTCATCCAAGAGTGAGCTGTGGTCATGAAACCTGCAACCTGTGAAACCCTTTTAATTACCTACTTTGCACTCCGAGCAAGAAAATCGCATGATACTTTAAGCCTGTTGTTGGGATCAGACAGCCATAGTATAGTCCTGTTCCATGCTCCATATCTGGTAAGACTAATTTGTTGCCATGTTGAATTGTTTGTTAATCAAGATGATAAAAAATACATCAAAATCGTTGTGGTTTATATTTATTATGAATTTTCCTGTGTATTTGAGCTTATTAAGGCATTTCCTTTATTAGATGATGGCTTCTACACAAGCACTTAAGAGTAGCTTTAATCCTCTTGTATTAATTGTATTTAGTGGAAATTTCTGAGAGTTAGTCTTAATTTACTGCCTCAACCTACAAGTAAATTCAATAAGAATTGCATCTTGTAGATATTTGATTCAGTAAATTTCCTAAGAGATCCCCCACTCCCCACAGATAAATTTGATAAAGAATTAAAAGAGTTGGATGGGGATGAAGTTACTAAACATCTAAGTGGTTTACTATCAGTTGAAAGGAAACAAGAAATTAATGATTTGTTAAACAAAGACTAACAATGAACAATCATTTTGTAGTTGAAGAGCTACAGAATTTGAGGTCCGACATTGATTTAAAACTCAAAGAGTTCATCATACAAGTCGAACAATTCAAATAGAGGTTTGATGAGCTGGTTAGCCATTGTTGAAGAGAATATGGATGTCAACACAGGGAGGACGAGGACCTAAGATCACCAAAAATGGAACCTCTCTTGTATGAACCAGACCAAATGATTATATTGCTCAAAGTTATATGTTGGGTCTAGACTCAAAGGAAAAACATACTAAGAGACTATTTTCTTTTAGTACAAGGAAGTCACAATCACTCTCATCCATCAAATTTCAAATTGGTGGTTGTAAGAGTCTCATCGACTAGATTCAAATTAAAAAATAAAATAAAAACCTCGATCTTTGTGACGCACCCCAAGCCATCAAATTTGACATCTAATGACTAGATATAATTGTAGCCACCTTGTGACAAAGATAAATGGCCTCATAGTATCCAATCCAAATTCGGTAGAAAATCGCATCAATCTCAATGGACCCTCTTATGATGAACACCTTCAGAGACAACCTAGAGGTGATCCCCAAGAAAAGATGTATTCTAGGCAAGCTAAAGGTATTTTGGAGATAACAAGGACTGGGGGGCAGGAAGGTAATTTTTGGAAAATGTTGTACGGCTTTAGAACACCAAAATTACAGGTCATAATCTCATAATCTCTCTTTGAATTGAATTAGGGGTGTAGCATTTCGAATCAATGGATGAGATTTGATCAATGATGTGTCCAAAATTGTGTAACAATGAACTTAATCTGCTTTAGAAAGCTTCCACACATTCCATCCATATAAAATGCAAAGTTGCAGCAATTCCATACAAAATCTACATACAATTATGTAACTTCCAAATGGTACATTGGATCAAAATGACACTAGGATTGTTGGAAATCCTATTCAAGAACACATAAATTGGTATAGGTTTTTCAAGTCACTTGGGTAAATTTTCCTAGGGGGAGAAACTCTGATTAAGTATGAAGACATCTAGGTATGTTTAGACCATTGGGTAACACTAGGGTGTTTGACAAAGTTTATATGGATGTCAAGGGATTCTATATATGATAACAGACAAGAATTATATGATCAATAGCATGATGCATCTTATTTCAAGTATCTGCTGTTGCCTCTCTTTGATATGATGGATATATATAAAAAAAGAAAAAAAAAGAAGAAAAGTAGGCACTTGCAGGTGGCGATAAACAAGTCCTAGCATGATTGCCATCTTGGGTCAAATATTT